CCCGCTTGCAGAAGGACGCCCGGGGAGTCGGGCCTCGCCAGCCCCGCGCTCCCTTGAGCGGGAAGCCTCCGCTCGCCGGCGCAAAGGGACGGGGGGGGCGCGGCTGAGCCCAAGCGCCGCCGCCGCGAGGGGCGAAGGGAGCGCCCCCTCCTCCGGCGCCCTCCCTGGGGGTCGCACGGCAGTGGGCGCCCTGCAAGGGGCCCTGCGCTCCGGAGCTCTGCGCCCCGGCTGGGAAAGGAAGGCCTTTGCTGCAGCGGGCCGGCAGGATGGGAGACCACTGGGAGACCTTGGGGGCTGTAGCCCAGCATGGCGCGGCAGCAAGCCAGCGGGGAGCCCAGTAGCGCGCTGTGCCAAGGCGCTGCGCCCGTCTCGAGGGGGTCAGGCTCAGCAGCTGGCCAGCGTCCGGCGGATCTCAGACTCGCGGGTTGGATGTTAAGCAGGGAATCCGGAGGCGCGCCTCTAGGTCGGCTTGCGCGACGGGGCAGGCGAGCCTGGGAGGAACGGGGGTCGCCGGGCCGGCCTGCGTGGTCTGAAGCCAGTGAAATGGAGGGGCTTGAGCCGCGGTTGACTCCAGGGCTCTGTTCCGGATTCCCAGGCGAAATGCTGAAGTTTGGGAGGCAGATGTTCGGCCTTAGCATCAGGCTAAGTAAAGCAGACTCTGGACGGGGAGGTCGTCCTCCCTTCCGCCTCATCGGGTTTGGTTTCTTTTCTTCTCTTCGTTTTGAAAGTTCAGCCCCAGAGGCGGGTGCAAAATGTCAGCAACTTTGGGAGACGGACACTTCCTGATGACACCCGCTCGGGTTCTTGAAGCTGGTGGCGACGCTAACTCAACAGGGCTGGCCGGAAAAAAAAGAAAAGTCTAAAGTTTTAGAGCCGGAGAAGCATCTGTTTGATCTGTCTGAAGGGGAAGGGCCTGCAGGCTTTTCCAAAATAATTTCTCCAAAATAAGTTGTGGCTTTGCCAGGCTCTCAATGCGTCGGCCAAATCGGGTTGAGCTGAGGGCAGCGACAGCTGATCTTGCTGCTAAGCAAGGTTAGGTGGGGCTCGTCTTTGGATGGGAGATCCCGGGGCTGAGGGCCCATCCGGGAAGTGGAAAAAAACATCCCAGAGCAGCGTTTCTCAACCTTGGCCGCTTTAAGATGTGTGGACTTCAATTCGCCCTTCTTAAAGCGGCCAAGGTTGAGAATCACTGGGTTAGTTTCATCAGAAAATGGAATTACTGGTTCCTGCCAGAAGCAGCCTGGCAAATATGACGTCACTGTTTATTTGCAAGCGAGGCCCCGATCCTGTCCTCGTGCCCCCCCCCCGCCCAAACCAGGGCGTGAACCGACTTGCTTGG